TGACCTTGCAGTACAGTGAGTGCATTAACCCACAGTACCACACCAGGATATATATTCAATGTATGATGATTTCAGGTGAAAGTGATGCAAATATTTTTTAGGATAAATGTGTTTCCAGAAAATATTCAGTTCCTAAAAGTTTTCTCTAAAAAAAAAAATGATTATGAAACAGTAAGTTTGGAATCATGTATTTTCAAACAAGTCCCAGCTTTCAACTGTATGTTTTTACTTTCTGGTAAGAAAAATGTAGAAACAACACTTAACTTTCTCTAATATCTCCTTCTTCTCACCCATGATAATAGTGAATTACATTATTTTTTTTTACTTTATCAGGCTTTGTATCATTTGTGCTCAGCTTGATAACCATGCTTTCCACAATGTAGTTTCACTCTTTAATGTATTAAATATCAAACACTAATCTACCACTCCTCTGTCAGTTTGTCACACTGTGGTGGCTGGCATGTTGCTGTGATACTGGAAACTATGTCACCGGGATTTTAAATACCAGCAGGGTACACCCATGGGGGGAAGTTTTCAGCTGAGTTTACAGACTAAGATAGATTAGGAAGAAGGAGAGACGGAATACTTCTGATTGTTTAATGCTGAAAACCTTATGAACAGCAGTGGAACACTGTCAGCACCAGAATATTAAATATTATTGAAACTTGATGAATAGGAACAGAATATTGTCAAATATAGTGCCAGAAGATGAGCCTCTCAGGTTGGAAAGCACTCAAAATGCGATGGGGAAGAGCTGCCTCCTCAAAGTAGAGTTGACCATGATGATGCAAATGGAGTAAAGTTTCCAGGGCCTTCATCTACTGATGGGGCACAACTCAAAATGGGGAGAAACATCTGTAAACATCGATGAATAATAGGAACATGGAATGTATTAAGCATGAATCAAAAATAAAATGGAACACAGAAATATTGATATCCTAGGCATTGGTGGTGGTGGTGTGCCATGGAGTCAGTTCCAACTCATAGCAACCCTGCATAGGGTTTCTAAGGCTGTAAATCCTTACGGGAGCAGAAATCCTCATCTTTCTCCCGCGGAACTGCTGGTAGTTTCAAACTGCAGACCGTGAGGTTAGCAGCCTGACTCGTAACCACTACGCTACCAGAGCTCCTTATTCTAGGCATTAGTCCACTGAAATGGCCATTTTGAATCTGACAAGCATATGGTTTACAATGCCAATAATGACAAATTGAAGAGGAATGATGTAGCATTCACCATCTAAAAGAACATTTCAAGATCTATCTTGTAGTATAATGCTGTCTGTGATAGGATAATATTCATATGTATACAAGGAAGACCAGTTAATACCACTATTAATGAAATTCATGCACCAGACACTAAAATTGTTGCTGTTGTTGTTAGGTGCTATGGAGTCGGTACTGACTCATAGCAACAAAGTCAAGTATGTGATGAAATGAGCAAAGACCTGAAGTTAGAAAACCAAAGTGAAGAAACAGCTCAGCATTTTTCAAGCTGAAAGAACTGAAGAAAAACATCAAGCCTCAATTTAAAATATTGATGGGTTCTATGGACTCCTGGCATAGTGCTGTACGGTCAGCACTGGACTTCAAACCACAAGGTCAGCAGTTGAAACTCACCAACTACTTCTTGGAAACCAGGGTTGCTATGAGTTGGAACCAACTCAACAGCACTTAAAAACAACAACATGACAAAACATTAAATAATGCAGAAAATATCAAATGAAGATTGAAGGAATACACAGAGTCAACTATTCGTTGGGGATCTGCCTATTTTTCTCCGACCCTCCATTTTACCAAACAGGGACTGTTCGCTTCTGACAACATGTCTGAAGAATGAGAGACAAAGTCTGGCCATGTTGGCTTCCAGGGAGCTTTCGGCTGTACTTCTTCTAACACAGATTGGTTTGTTCTTTTAGGAGTCCATGGTACTTTCAGTATTCACCTCCAACACCATAACTCAAATGCATCAATTCTTCTATGGTCGTCCTTATTAACTGTCCAACTTTAGCATACATATGAAGTTACTTGGCCAATTGACTGGAAGAGATCCATATTTGTGCCCATTTCGTAGAGAGGTAAGCCTATGTAATGAGGAAATCAACTACTCCTGCTGCTTGATTTCACCTTTGTTCTCCAGAGGACAGCTGCTCCTTCTCGTTTGGAATACAAGTTCTGCTTTGGAGATTGAAAAGGTGTGATTAATTATGGATCATAGCTAGGTAGGAAATTAAATTTCAACCATGACTATTACTCTTAGTGGAGTCCTGGTATGGTGCTGTGGGTTAATATGCTGGACTGAACTGCAAGGTCGGTTTGAATTGCAAGGTCATTGGTTCAAGCTCAACAGCCCCTCCTTGGAAACCCCATACAGAACCAACTCGATGGCACTTAACAACAATAGCAATTACTCTTAGCAGGCTTTATTTTACTTTGTTGTTGTTGTTGTTAAGTACCGTGCAGTCAGTTCCGACTCATAGTGACCCTACATAGGGTTTCCAAGGCTGTAAATCTTTATGGGAGCAGAATGCCTCATCTTTCTTCCATGGAACTGCTGGTCGTTTCAAACTGCTGACCTTAAGGTTCACAGCCCAATTCGTAAC